TATATATATTATATATCCATTGCTTCCATGTGCACTTGGGAGTAGGCGTTATAAAAATGATGATGACCTTCTCCTCCTTCTCCTCATCCTCAGTACTATTATTATTATTATTATCATCATCATCATCATTATTATTATTTTTGGTTGGATCACAGTTGTTTCATTCTTCCTCCTGTTGCTCCTCCCCAGCGATGGCGGTTTTATCGCTCACAACGCGCGCGATGCGTACCCGGGCCAGGCGCCCACCAAGGTGGTCAACTTTACGGGCGGCAGCGGCGCCGACAGCAGCAACAACAACAACACCAACACGCCCGCCGCCGCCACCACCACCACCACCACGGCGAACGGGACCGCCAACGCCAACAGCAAAACGACGGACGCTATCTACGACCTACCGTGCTACAACGAGTACTTGGTGAGTCCAGCGAACACTTTTTTAGTTTCAGTAGAGGTTTTACGGCGCTCACAACTGCATAATGTCATATAAACGCCAGGAGATTAGAGGTGTTACAAGAGAGCTACAGACATAAAAAATGAAGAAGGGGAGATAAGGACGATCGATGTTTAATAGGAAAGAAGAAGCACGCCGCACCAGAGGACCGCTAAACCACCCACTGCGAACACTTTACTTTGTGGGTGGTTGGAGGGTGCTTGGCCTGGTGTGGTTTCTTCCTTCTTGCCTATCAACATCCATCGTCCTTTATCTCCCCTCCTTCTTTGTTGTGTTTTTCACTCTCTTTTTTGTAACACCTCTAATCTCGGCTCTTATACGACCTAATTGTGTTGCAAGTGCTTATAAACTAAACTCTCTCTAAAACGAAAAGAAAACTTACTTAAGTTGATGCTAACAGTTGCAAACCTTGTAAGTCTGAAATTTGGTCACGGTTTAAAAAAAAACAATTTGTCTGAAAAGTTTGCTTGGAGACCCTCTCGAAAAGACTACACAATGCGACTTTGGTGCAGAGCATGTGTCATCTGTTTTCAGTGTCACTCTTGACACGCAGACACTATTTTCCTTGAAAGTAGTTAATTTGGACTTGCATGGTTTGCCATTGTTACCATCGACTGTTTTGTCTGTTCTCCGGCGTCTTCTATATCTGTTGGTACTCTTGGGCATAGGTGTCCTTGTCATCAGAGCATCAGAGTCATCTTTGTGGTATTGTATGAGCTGTGGAAATATAAAATATGGC